TACCTCTCCCCAAAATATTGTCACGTAATGCAACTCAAGGGCAGATAAGTGTTTCCGGTACAATCTAATTAATAAATATCTCTCCAATGCGAACATCCTGTCACGTGAGGCAAATCAAGGGCAGATAACTAGGTTTCCGGTAGAATGCAATGTCCCTACCTCTCCCCAATCCCAAACGGAAACATCCTGTCACGTGAGGCAAATCAAGGGAAGATAACTAGGTTTCCGGTAGAATGCAATGTCTCTACCTCTCCCCCATCCCAAACGGAAACATTCTGTCACGTGAGGCAAATCAAGGGCAGATAACTAGGTTTCCGGTAGAATGCAATGTCCCTACCTCTCCCCAATCCCAAACGGAAACATCCTGTCGCGTGAGGCAAATCAAGGGCAGATAACTACGCTTCTGGTAGAATGCAATGTCCCTACCTCTCCCCAATCCCAAACGGAAACATCCTGTCACGTGATGCAAAATCAAGGACAGAGTAGTATGTTTCGGGTAGAATGCAATGTCTCTACCTCTCCCCAAAATATTGTCACGTAATGCAACTCAAGGGCAGATAAGTGTTTCCGGTACAATCTAATTAATAAATATCTCTCCAATGCGAACATCCGGTCAGGTGAGGCAAATCAATGGCAGATAACTACGTTTCCGGTAGAATGCAATGTCCCTACCTCTCCCCAACATACTGTCACGTGATGCAAATCTAGGGCAGATAAGTGTTTCCGGTAAAATCCGCTTTCCCTACCTCTCCCCATCCCAAACGGAAACATCCTGTCACGTGAGGCAAATCAAGGGGAGATAACTAGGTTTCCGGTAGAATATAACGTTCCCTACCTCACCAATCCCAAACGGAAACATCCTGTCACGTGAGGCAATTCAAGGGCCGATAACTACATTTCCGGTAGAATGCAATGTCCCTACCTCTCCCCAATCCCAAACGGAAACATCCTGTCACGTGATGCAAAATCAAGGGCAGATAAGTATGTTTTATTGTAGAATGCAATGTCCCTACCTCTCCCCAATCCCAAACGGAAACATCCTGTCACGTGAGGCAAATCAAGGGCAGATAACTAGGTTTCCTGTAGAATGCAATGTCCCAACCTCTCCCGCAACCCAAACGGAAACGTCCTGTAACGTAGTGCAATACCAAGGACAGATAAGTATGTTTCCGGTAGAATGCAATGTCCCTACCTCTCCCCAACATACTGTCACGTGATGCAAATGAAGGGCAGATAAGTGTGTTTCCGGTGAAATCAGCTTTCCCTACCTCTCCCCATCCCAAACGGAAACATCCTGTCACGTGACGCAAATCAAGGGCAGATAAGTACGTTTCCGGTACAATCTAATTGATAAATATCTCTCCAATGCGAACATCCGGTCATGTGATGCAAATCACAGGCAGATAAGTGTTTCTGGCCTAAAATGCAATGTCCCTACCTCTCCCCGACTCCAAAGGGCAACATCCTGTCACGTGATGCTAATAAAGGGTACATCAGTATGTTTCCGGTAGAATGCAATGTCCCTACCTCTCCCCAATCCCTAACGGAAACATCCTGTCACGTGAGGCAGATCAAGGGCAGATAACTACGTTTCCGGCAGAATGTAATGTCCCTTCCTCTCCCCAATCCCTAACGGAAACATCCTGTCACGTGAGGCAAATCAAGGGCAGATAACTACGTTTCCGGTAAAATCCACTTTCCCTACCTCTCCCCATCCCAAACGGAAACATCCTGTCACGTGAGGCAAATCAAGGGCAGATAACTAGGTTTCCGGTAGAATGCAATGTCCCTACCTCTCCCCAATCCCAAACGGAAACATCCTGTCACGTGAGGCAAATCAAGGGCAGATAAGTGTGTTTCCGGTGAAATCCGCTTTCCCTACCTCTCCCCATCCTAAACGGAAACATCTTGTAACGTGATGCAAATCAAGGGCAGATAAGTACGTTTCCGGTACAATCTAATTAATAAATATCTCTCCAATGCAAACATCCGGTCATGTGAGGGAAATCCAGGGCAGATAAGTACGTTTCCGGTAAAATCCACTTTCCCTACCTCTCCCCATCCCAAACGGAAACATCCTGTCACGTGAGGCAAATCAAGGGCAGATAACTAGGTTTCCGGTAGAATGCAATGTCCCTACCTCTCCCGCAACCCAAACGGAAACATCCTGTCACGTGAGGCAAATCAAGGGCAGATAACTACGCATCCGGTAGAATGCAATGTCCCTACCTCTCCCCAATCCCAAACGGAAACATCCTGTCACGTGAGGCAAAATCAAGGACAGAGTAGTATGTTTCGGGTAGAATGCAATGTCCCTACGTCTCCCCAAAATATTGTCACGTGATGCAACTCAAGGGCAGATAAGTGTTTCCGGTACAATCTAATTAATAAATATCTCTCCAATGCGAACATCCGGTCAGGTGAGGCAAATCAATGGCAGATAATTACGTTTCCGGTAGAATGCAATGTCCCTACCTCTCCCCAACATACTGTCACGTGATGCAAATCAAGGGCAGAAAAGTGTTTCCGGTAAAATCCGCTTTCCCTACCTCTCCCCATCCCAATCGGAAACATCCTGTCACGTGGGGCAAATCAAGGGCAGATAACTACATTTCCGGTAGAATGCAATGTCCCTACCTCTCCCCAACATACTGTCACGTGATGCAAATCAAGGGTAGAAAAGTGTTTCCGGTATATTCCGCTTTCCCTACCTCTCCCCAATCCCAAACGGAAACATCCTGTCACGTGAGGCAAATCAATGGCAGATACGTATGTTTCCGGTAGAATGCAATGTCCCTACCTCTCCCCAACATACTGTCACGTGATGCAAATCAAGGGTAGAAAAGTGTTTCCGGTATATTCCGCTTTCCCTACCTCTCCCCAATCCCAAACGGAAACATCCTGTCACGTGAGGCAAATCAAGGGCAGATACGTATGTTTCCGGTAGAATGCAATGTCCCTACCTCTCCCCAACATACTGTCACGTGATGCAAATCAAGGGTAGAAAAGTGTTTCCGGTATATTCCGCTTTCCCTACCTCTCCCCAATCCCAAACGGAAACATCCTGTCACGTGAGGCAAATCAAGGGCGATAACTAGGTTTCCGGTAGAATGCAATGTCCCTACCTCTCCCCAATCCCAAACGGAAAAATCCTGTAATGTGAGGCAAATCAAGGGCAGATAACTAGGTTTACGGTAGAATGCAATGCCCCTACCTCTCCCCAATCCCAAACGGAAACATCCTGTCACGTGAGGCAAATCAAGGGCAGATAACTAGGTTTCCGGTAGAATGCAATGTCCCTACCTCTCCCCAATCCAAAACGGAAACATCCTGTCACGTGAGGGAAATCAAGGGCCGATAACTACGCTTCCGGTAGAATGCAATGTCCCTACCTCTCCCCAATCCCAAACGGAAACATCCTGTCACGTGAGGCAAATCAAGGGCAGATAAGTACGCTTCCGGTAGAATGCAATGTCCCAACCTCTCCCGCAACCCAAACGGAAACGTCCTGTCACGTGATGCAAATCAAGGGCAGATAAGTGTGTTTACGGTGAAATCCGCTTTCCCTACCTCTCCCCAATCCCAAACGGAAACATCCTGTCACGTGAGGGAAATCAAGGGCAGATAACTACGCTTCCGGTAGAATGCAATGTCCCTACCTCTCCCCATCCTAAACGGAAACATCCTGTGACGTGACGCAAATCAAGGTTAGATAAGTGGGTTTCCGGTACAATCTAATTAATAAATATCTCTCCAATGCGAACATCCGGTCATGTGATGGAAATCAAGGGCAGATAAGTGTTTCCGGTAAAATCCGCTTTCCCTACCTCTCCCCAATCCCAAACGGAAACATCCTGTCACGTGAGGGAAATCAAGGGCAGATAACTACGCTTCCGGTAGAATGCAATGTCCCTACCTCTCCCCATCCTAAACGGAAACATCCTGTGACGTGACGCAAATCAAGGTTAGATAAGTGGGTTTCCGGTACAATCTAATTAATAAATATCTCTCCAATGCGAACATCCTGTCAGGTGAGGCAAATCAAGGGCAGATAACTAGGTTTCCGATAGAATGCAATGTCCCTTCCTCTCCCCAACATACTGTCACGTGATGCAAATCAAGGGCAGATAAGTACGTTTCCGGTAGAATCTAATTAATAAATATCTCTCCAATGCGAACATCCGGTCAGGTGAGGCAAATCAAGGGCAGATAACTAGGTTTCCGATAGAATGCAATGTCCCTTCCTCTCCCCAACATACTGTCACGTGATGCAAATCAAGGGCAGATAAGTACGTTTCCGGTAGAATCTAATTAATAAATATCTCTCCAATGCGAACATCCTGTCACGTGAGGCAAATCAAGGGCAGATAACTAGGTTTCCCGTAGAATGCAATGTCCCTATCTGCCCCCAATATCCTGTCACGTGATGCAAATCAAGGGCAGATAAGTACGTTTCCAAGCCAAGCCAACAACGAAATACCGACACATGCATCGCGGTGGTTGTTAGGAGATAAAAAAACCAGTATATTGTCGAGGCATTTTCTATTTCAGAACACGAGACAAAGTAACTTAGCATCGACACTCAATTTGGTCACATATAAAAATATAATATTCAAGTCTATACTTCATATACATTTTCTTTACTTCAACTGTCAATGTTTAGGAAAGTTTGAGCAGTTCGGACACGTGGTCTGTGTAGGTGATGTCCCCGATGAACAAGTCTTCTTTTTTCTTTGTATTTGTTTTTATTTCCCTTCAGATGTTTACATATATTATTGTTACACATTCTGTAAGTCTACAGAAATAATGTGTGGAAAGAGGACCAAAGTATATCCTTCTAGCCATTTAGCCAACTCTTTCCACCTTGTAACAGGGGTGTCGTGCCGGGCTAAAGATCACACTTACAATACTTGTAGAGTAAAACGATGGTCCTGTAAACATTAAAATGCCCCAAACGCCGTAAGAAACATAACCGCTGCTACCCCCTTTGTCTGTTTCAGATATTGAGCCTTTGTGCGACATGATGACGTTATGCAGGGAGGAGCGCTTGAGAGACAGCAACCATGAAAGAGGTCGAATGGTGTCGAAGAAAAAATGTCCAGCAATGTCAACTTGCGATAATAAATGTTTAGTCTCTCAACTTGTCTTTTTATGTTGATAATATGCATTCCGGACATAAACAGAAATATCAGAAGCAACACACTCCAAATATCGCACATCAGCCGAGAGACAATTTACACCTGAAATGAAGGAATTCTGACACCACGGAAGGGGGAAGAGAAGACGGGGAACATCCAAAACAAGTCTTACTAAACGAAATAGTTCAGTCGGGTCAGTTATCTGTACTTTATTTGGAATTCTGTAGTAGCAGCAGTTTGTGGAGTGAGTTTAGTTTTAGGCCGCATACAGATGAAACATTTCTTGTAAATCCAATATCCCCTACCTTTTTTAATGGTGCAGGACAATCAAGAACCAGTTTAAATTAAATTTAAAGATGATTCGAGTATAAAATGTACTGCTCATGAGGACCGATCAACCAAGTCAGCATGGACACAACGCAGAGTCTATATAATAATCTGGCTTGACACTTTCAAATTTTTACCGAAACCACCATTTACAATATAGTAGATAATGAATGACTGAGTTTGGTTTTACGCCGCTTTTAGCAATATTCCAGCAACATCACGGCAGAGGGCACCAGAAATGTATCATGTTATGCGACGGCGAGACCATTGAGATAGAAACAAAACAAACGCTGCGAAAAAGTTTATAAACCTGATACGAACCAAAAATATGAACTAAAGCACTGTCGGAAATAGAAAAAACTGCTTTCAGGCTGTCGAAATAACCTAACTGGTCGGTCAGTAGGATGCGTAATAGGATATCTAGAAAAGCATGTTTTCTCGTAAAATCGGGCAAAACGAATAGCTACTGAAAACAATAGATGGCAATTAGGTCGCTCGGCTAGGTATGACGACGGACCGTCGACTCACCTGGCATGACATGCACGTGCTGCCCAGAGGCACAAGGGGTAATCTCAAAAATATTTTATGCTTTTTCATGTGTGTTGAATATATTGATCAGCATCTTACGTGTCTTTCTTTATGTTGAAATACGTAAAAGAGCATGATACCCATAGAAAAGCTTACATCAGCCATCGTATTAAATGTCTCATGACCACCCGCAGACCGACAGAACTGGATATTATTTGTAATTTGTTATGACATGCCGTTTATTTAGCCAGTTTGTTTCCCCTAAAGGATTTTTATCTTAGCTGATAACTTTATCCCCCAGCCCGACCCCAACCACCGTCTGCGACACCCCTCCTACCTGTTTGTGTTGATAGTGATGGTAGCTACATCCGTAATCATTTCAGTATTAAAGTCATCATTTTCTATGTCTGCTTTAAAAAGTGCCCTTTGTAATACAATATCATCGCACACTAATTTCCATAAAGCCATGGTCTGTTCCAAATGTGGCTTTGCCCTTGGAAAACCCCCGCATTGCTCATTTCTGCACTGATCTCTCCTCAGTAAAGTCGTTTTCTATCTCCCTACCATTGAGACTAGTTAGGCCGAACTTATAAATGTGAAAAAAACCCAACACTTTTAAAAAAAATGTTAAACAGAATATTCGTATTTTAAAAATAACGTTAATACATGTACAATCTATTCCTCCAGACATGGGCTTCAATCATTGTACCCATGTGGGGAATCGAACCCGGGGGTCTTCGGCGTGACGAGCGAACGCTTTAACAACGAGGCTACCCCACCGCCCTCTTATGTCAGACAATCCCAAACACCCGATGGAATACATAAAATTCTACATAGCATTTTTGTATCTGGTTTTGATTTCAATATTGTGTACTGCATTCCCATATAGAAACATGCAACAATTTATATACTCTTCACAAACAGTAGTGGAACCTGAACTTTCAATCTGGATAAGATTTATAAGCGTTACACTTTTCAAAGACATCTTATGAACGCACCACCATTTCTCTTTATCACCACCTCAAAACAACGCATTGGATGCACGTGCACAACGCAGTCGCCCCTACACGTGCATGGGATGTCCTTGATTTTGGCGGTTTCCAAGAAGGTTGATAAATCACTGTAGACCATTAATTTGGACAATCATCTTGCATCACACAGTTGTTAGTGTTTGTTTCTTGACGGTTTTTTGTTTCAAAATGAAAATCGTACACATGCAAATTTCACATCATACACCAAGCATCTTTCAAGAGCTATTACTGTACAAACAACTATGGTCATAAGGAAGTGCAAGTGGTGATGCACTCTCAAAACATTCATTAATATTATATGAACATCGATATACATGTATCTTCCTATTTTTCAAACGTAAATTAAAAATGAAGTTCCCTACTTTTTAAAGAGTATAATTTGACCATTATGATGACGCCATTCACAATTATACAGACACTATCACCAAAACATTCATGTCTAATCTGAATTCTTTCCGATATATTTCCCATGGTTTAACTATTGCAGAATCAGGTGGCCCTTGAGTTGAGGGAGACTGGTAGCTGCGCCTTTGCAAACAGTAATTATCCTTTGCTTGGGGTGTGATGATTTAAGTGTGTGTGTGTGTGTGTGGAGAGGAGAAGGAGGACGAGAGTTTTGACCCAATCCACTTTGTTCTGGGGGAGGTCGGTGGGTCATCAATTTTATTTATTATTATAAAATAATTGTTTTATTTATTTAAATTTATTATTATTATTTATTTATTTATTTGGGGGGCGCATTGGTTTTGAACATGACATGCAGGGGGTGTCACTTTGTACAGATTTTTTGGGGAATGGGGGAGTTTCTAAAAAAAACCTCCAGTCGTGAATTAGAAACGGTCCCTAATGAAAAACACCATGCTATTCCATGATTACACTAAGCGGAACATACCATGGCAGAAAGACTGACACGGGTACAGTGACACAACTACAGACATAAAACATACATTATACAAATTGTCAAATATACATTACACAAATTGTACATATGAATTCTTGGTGATTTACGCCACAGTCAGCAATATTCCTGCAATTTTGTCTGCTGTAAAGTGCAGTTCAGTGACTGGGTGGAAAGACTTCCGCCCATGGAGCGTGTTTGGTTTTACGCCGCTTTTATCAATATTCCAGCAATATTACGGCGGGGGGACACCAGAATTAGGCTTCATACAATATCCCCATGTTTGGAATCGAGTCCAGGTCCTCTGCGTGACGAGCGAACGCTTTAACCACTGGGAAACTAGCAGCCGAGTCTCAGGGCCTGATCTTCCGATCAATTGTTGCTGCCTTGTACGGCTGGCAATGGAGTGTCGAGGGCATTCTACCCGAGTCCAAACAATCATTCTAAAATTTCAAAGAATATGTCGTTCTATACTACGCATCAAAAGTTTACACTCACTAATGTAATTGTAGGCACTTCCTTGAGTCAACTGTTCAAAACTAGATTTTGCAAAATATTCCATACATATGAACATGATATGTATTGTAAAGCAAATTCGTAACATTGAAAAGATCACTCAATCAATAAATGATTCTAAATAAACTTTACACCAAAACGCAGCTGTTCACATGCACGACATGCATGCTTTTCAGCAATTTGATGCATGATCCTCGTGCAATTCATCTGCAGTTGGTTCCCCAAATTAGTGGAGAAATTCATACATACATATAGTCAATGCTTTAAGTGAGTCTAAACTTTGATGGATAGTATATAATCCAAATCACAAAGTTTACATGGGCAAATAACAGGGAAATATACATAAACGTTACGTTGTTTGACAATTCTTTTCGTAATTCATTAATTAATGGTGTCGATATTCTCACCCAAGACGTATATAACTTAAGCATACAACAAACTACCAACATCGTCCAAATTAATTTTGCTGTGAAACGCTGTGCTGTGTTAAAGATGTCTTCTACTAAACAATGTCTGTCACCTTCTTTGTTCCTCTTCGACTGATCACTAAACCACATGTGCTTCCTTCAGGGGAGGTGCGCATGTGCAGATCAAGCTTATCGCATTCAGCCACTCATCACGATTTGCACGCGTTTCGTATGACATGTTACATAACACCATTTGTTACTCGCCGACCTTGACTGAATTGACAGCAAACATATATTTAAATATGTTTTTTCTCCCAAGATATTGTTGTTTTTTTCCGTAATGATGAATCGACTTGGAATGAACAGAATGAAATACTTTAATGTAATGTAAAATCAAGTGATTCAACTTTGACCACCCATTCTAAATGGGGGCGAGGGCACTTCATGATCAGCCAATCAGATGTCAGCTTCCTAAAACTATTCGACTTCATTCCTCACTCTCCTACCCAGAGTTCCATGCGCCAAGCCAGTTATGTTAGTCATCGCTGTGCCGGGGTCTGTTCATTCCTCTATCCCTGGCACCCAATGAAATCAATTTCAACTGCTAACTGATACCGAATATACTGATATCATATACTGAACCGCAAAAGAAACGCAAGTCAAAATCCAGATTTAGAAAAACTTTACTTTTGACAGATAATGCATGAAAACAGGTACATAATAACAATCAACACTTATTGCATGATGATCGGGACATGTCAGTCAATGCATGGAAACATTGTTGGTTTACTTTGCTTGAAGACAAAATCGAAGTTGATCCAACAAGTCAGTAGCGTATGTCCACCTCGTGCATTCACTACAGCTGTGCACCGCCTGAACATGGAGTGAATCAGATGGTTGACAAAGGCCCTAGGGATTGCCGCAAATGTCCGGATGATGGCTGCTGGAGTTCTGCTGCAGTTGTCGGACGTGGTCGGACTTCATTCAGTCGTCTCTGCAGCTCGTCCCAAAAATGTTCGATCGGGTTTAAATCGGGACTGACAGCAGGCCATGGCAGTAGTCGGATGTTATGCTGCTGGAAAAATGCCTGACTGACTCTAGCAGTGTGGGGCCTGGCATAATCTTGCTGGAAAATGTGTTGCTTGTGTCGGACGCAAAATGGCACAACCTGGGGTCGGAGGATCTGGTCGATATTACGTTGGACAGTGACTCCATTTCCCCGATCTGGCTCAATATTCTGGAAGAATACTGGCCCTAATCTCTGATTCAGGCCAATCACTGCCCATACCATAACG